CTTTCTTTCTTTCTTTCTTTCTTTCTTTCTTTCTTTCTTTCTTTCTTTCTTTCTTTCTCACTCAGGTCCAACACATAGTGACAGAAACCAGAGACAAGATCATGCAGTACAAAAGCAAAATGGCGGATGAGGCAGACCTGAGGCGGCGGCTGGCCAGTTTGGAGGAATCTGTCGAACTGCATGAGCACATGAAGAGACAGGTCATTCGCTGCTGCCGGGCTCTATCTGTTGGTTGGGTTCACTAAGTCTTTGCATTCAAAAAGCTTTACGCATGCATTCATTATTTATCTTTTTTAACACAGTATTAATAACAATTGCTGTAAATCTATTTATCCCACTGAAAAAAATAAAGCATCAGAACACTTGAAATTCCAGTTATAACAAAGCTGTTTGTCTTGTTTTGTTGCTGTCAGGCTTTAGCTGAGTTTGAGATGTACAGACAGAGGATGGAAGACTCACAGCTCTGCACCGAGGCCCAGCACACACAGAGAGTCGTCTCTATGAGCAGAGAGGTAAGACTTTATAAAAAAATACAAAGAAAACCCTGCTTACAATGTAAACCCAGCCCTGCTGTTGAGTTGCATGCTGTTGCAACACTCCTGTGCCGTTTTTATACACGCACAACTAGTTTTCTGCTGTGTAGGCTGAAAAGGACTGAATACAAATTGCGTTTTTCATTCATTTTTAAATTTAATATTCTCTGATTAACACAGCTTTCAACATTACAATGAAATGAAGCACTTGATATCAAACATCTGTTATTTGATACTGAGGACCTCATTAGGTTATTAAAAGAAAGGAGAAGTTTGACTATTTGGAAGGGAAAGGTTTAAAAAACAGGATTTGCTCAGTGTCCTGATGCATCTCAGTAATCCAGGTAAAAAATCTAAAGGAAAAAAATTGTATAGGTCTTCTGGACGGGTTCTTCTCTAATGAAACATTTCGTCTCTCTTCCAAGAGACTTCTTCAGTCTGAGAGTTTCAGGCAAAATTCAGGCTTTTGAGTCCTGCCTCCAGGTGACTGATACTCACTGAGGATTTGCTCAGTGTTCTTGCACTGTATTGCAGTCCTCATATATCATTCTAGATTTGCATATTATGAAAATTATTTGAAAGCTAGAAAGCAACAAAACAATACAAGTTTCCAAAAATCAATCATATTGGCATGTCATCAAAAGAACTAAAAAGCAAAGGTAAGTGATATAACTTATGAGCATAATTGAAAATTTATATGGCTACAAAGTGATTTTGATAGGATGAAAAAAAAAAAACAGGCATGTTTTTGTGTCATGACCTCAGGCTTCAAGTGACATTTGAGTTTGATTACACATTCTACAGCCCCAATTTCAAAGAAGATGGGACGTTATCTCCATCTTCTACTGCTCATCTGGTATCAAGTTGCAGAGGCAAGAGGCCCAGGAGAGAAACCCTGACAATGAGAGAAAAGCCCTCTTCAATTAGGGATGTCCCGATCCAGATTTTTTGGCTCCCGATACGATACGATTTTTTTAATGATTAGTCTTTCCAATACTGATCCGATAGCTTTATTTATTTATTTKTTTCCAAGTGACAAGGTTGGTAGTATTAAAGCGAGCCCTGTTGTTCCCACCACGAGAAACATCCAGTTTGTAGATTTTGCAAGATGCAGTTTCAGCATCATTGTTTTCCATTGAAAAGTGTTCCCACACTGTGGACATGGTTGCATACTTGTGTGCGTCTTGACTTCTTAACAGCAGTTGTAAAGCATGATGATGCTGAAAACTGGATCGGCCCGATCACATGACTAAATCCGATTCTACCCGATTTTCAAAAAATGGCCATATCTGCCACCAATACCAATACTGAGTATCTGATCGGGGTATCCCTATCTTCAATTACACACTCCTAAATAGGGATGCCACCGAAAACCGGTATTTTTTCAGTACTTGTTTCACGTGATGAATTTTGACCGGATCGATATGCTCCAGAAATAACGGTGCCGTTAACGGTACCGGCATAGTGCGGACATGGTGCATGCTATGTTGTTTAGAACAGTGGTTCCCAAACTTTTTATCTTCTGACCCACAAAATGTTCATTGCAAAAACTTGTGACCCCAAATATTACCAGTCTGAGTACACAAACTTTGTTAATAACCCTAAAAACAAAGGCTACACAAATATAAATACTTATTTATACTTATTTTGTGT